TGTGCTCCCACACTGTGTATTCTTGCTTCATTTCCAACTCACATTGGAGAATCTACCTTTCACCTGTTACCATTAACCGGAGTAAAAAGTCTTCATCGATGTTTATCGTAGAGAGCAAATCTCAAGAACAGCAATTTAAGTTTTGTTTATTTCCGATGTCAATATTTGAGGTAAGCATCTGACGCATATTTTCGATATGCCTATCTTTTCGTATAAAAGATTTTCTCCCAACCTGATATAAATGGCTTTTTAATATCGAAATAGTCAGATTCCAGTTTCGTTACATACTCCTTCACCTTTATGCATATTTATACGGTGAGTACGCCCATCCTGAAATATTGTTTACTGTCATACTCGAAAGAAGCTGTCTTTTTCTCAAACTTGGGAGATCACCTTTCGGTGAAAGTATATACAGCCTCACTAGAAATTGCAAACATGTATCAAAATGCTTTGCAGGCATTATGAATTCTTTCATAAAGGACTTAATTACCAGACAATGTTTAATGCTTTCATATACATTACTGAAAAGAAACCTTCCACAGCCTGACAAAAATTATCTTGTAATTACCACCTTTGCATTCGTTTTATATTCCGAAAGGAAGATACTTTGTTAATTGTTTTCGCCCTAGAAGTTAGACAGAACGTTTCTAGTTTCCAGTTAGCTGGGAATAAAATAAATAGAAACATTCTGAGTACTAATTAGCAAGAACTAATTTGGATAAAGGAATCCTTTTTTATTAAAAAAGCTATTTCTTGCCTATTTACTTGCTCCCATTCATCTGCAATAAATCTCTGTTATTCAGTTTGGATAACATATTTTTACCGAGTTTCATGGTTTTTCATAGTCAGACTAGGTTTTATAAATATCAAAATGGATTAATCTTGCGTATATAACTTTAGGTAATAATGGTTTTTTTACAATGTAAAATAAAATTCAAAATATTTACTTTTAACAGAGTTCTAAATACATCTCTAAAATGCATGCAAATTTTGGCCTTGCATTCGAAGTACTATTCTAAGATATGAATAAGGTTTACTGTTGGATTTGATGCGTGCCTGCTAGAAAAGCAATAACCAAAATATTATTATAGTTAAATTTAAATTTAATCTGATTTAATTTTAACATGCTAATCATTATTATCATGATGGAATAATTTTTTTGACTGAAATAATTAAATAATAATTCTCTGTCCGAGATATCTGAAGAAACGTCTTGTCCCGAAATTGAAACTTGAAATAACTGAATTTTGTTGTTAGAGGTGTTAGTGTGCGCTTTCCAAAATACACGTATTAGGCAACATTATCCGAGGTAACAAGATTCGTGTTTTAGTTCAAACGGAATTAAATCATATATGGACAGTTGGACATAATACCGGTTTTGAGAGGAAGGCATTTGAGCAAAGACGTTTGGGTGTCTCTAATTAAAAAGATATCCCTGTCATGACCAAACAATATTATTTGTCAGATTTCACACTTTTTGATCCCACTGTTCTTTCTTATCACCACAGTTTTATAGGGTCAGATTTCTGCGAAAATTTAAACTGTACAAAACGATGCAACGTCACTCCGTGACAGATATAAGGAAGACTATCCTACTATTGCTTTCATACATCCACTGGGACAATTATGCACATTACGATGACTATTACTTCGAAGGTAACTAAATAATAGATTTTACATGTGAACTAGAGCTGTCTTAAAAAGATTTTGTGAAGGTTTTTGTCTCAGAAGTCTGGCAACTATAAAGGATAAAACAATTTACTTCGAATGCTTTAAAAAATACTTTGCTAATTGAAATTTTTTATGCTTGAATTTTTTGAAATACATTTACTTTCAGGAAACGTTTTCCGTGAAATCGAATTAAATGTCCTCAATCCAGCAATGAATGTATATATCTGAAATTCATTTCTTGGACAAAGATTTCGTTGTTCATATATATATATATGCATATAAAATTGAAATTGAAAAGCTGATAAGTATTGTGCTGTAAGACCTATTTGGTCTTAAAAATTTTTTGCGCAATATGCTGCAAAAATAATGAAATAATAGGAAGAAATATTGTAGTGAGCTCGCCAAAATGTTACCAGGAGCTGTGGTAACCTTTTGGTTCAAGAAATAGTTCAACGCAGTATTTTTTAAAATAATAACATGGAAAGGGCGAAAAAATTAGCTTACACGCGAAATAAAAAAGCAGAACATAAAAAACTGTTAAAATCTATTCGTTGGAAACATGTGAATGGCATAAAAATACAAGTAGCAAAACCTATCGATGTGATAAGTGAAAAGTTAACACATATAAAAAAACCTGATCGACGGAACACGTTAAAACAAAATTAAATCATATGATTAAACACAAAATTGCAAAAATTATAAAAAATATAAAAATTACAAAGCGGAAAATAGTAAATTAGCCTAGTTAGACCTCCAACTAGGCTTTTCAAGGGAAATTTAGTTGGACGTCGAACCAAGCTAACACCATTACGTGTTTCGCCGAAACAGACAATTGAAGGCTCTAGTGTGACGAAAAACATTTTTTAAAAATAATATGAATTGCCCCAAAAAATCCTTTTGGAGCTTCAATTCTCCTGTTCCAATTTTTCGACGCGTCCGCAAAAAACAACACATTAAGGTGTAAAAAAATGTAAATGCAACTCCGAGTAAAGCTAAAATTAAAATAAAAATAAAATAAATAGCGGTTTGCTATTAGTCAAACTATACAATAACGTACGGGCTTATATATGCCTATAAATGTAGATACCCTGAAGAAGTTTAATGAAGAACAGACTTGAAGTAGTATCTGATATTACTTTTTATTTAGGTGGCCAAGAATTTCAGTAACATGATATAAATAAATTTATCGCACTAAGCAGGAGGTCTGTTTAAGACATTTTACATTTTTGAAGATAGCAAGCGTTGCATTGATCGTTTCTGCTGCTATGCATGTGTGGGTGTATGATACAAGAAGTATTCTTCGTATATTTTGTATTAATTATAATGGCTCTCTATATATACATATTATGTATTTATTGTTCTTGTTTTAAATGCACGACTTTAATACATACCATTATAAATTTTAAACTTCTTTTAAGTTTATTGTAAGTTTTTAATAGTTTTAACACAGGTATCTTAATTATTAACATTTCTTAGTTTCAGTTGCAATAGTATATATATATATATATTATTGTTTAATACAAAAATATATCTTCTTTTTATTACTTTTTAGCGTGTTTAAAGCATCGTTATTTTTCAGCAATTTTTTATTTCTTCTACTACTATAAGAATTATAAAATAAATGCTTAAGGCTAAGAATTTTTTTAGATTGGATTTCATCACTTAATTAAAAAGTTATTACAGCTGTATTATAATTTTATTTATATAGTTTTATCTCTCGGTTATATTTCATGATGAATTTAAAATGCTTTTCATAAAATTTTAATATATACTTCTATGTGTAATTGTATTTAAGCATCCCACAGCCATCAGCAAGTTGTCACACTGATTTGCATTGTAGAGGATTTACCCATTTTTGTCAAAGTTTACTATATTGTTATTGTACTGAATTTTGTTACTTACCAAGTTTTATTGCATTTTACATTACTTTACAAGTAAGAAAATGTGAATTATTTTACAAATAATTAATTCAAATTTCATGAATCTGTAAAAGAAAATTTTGTTTTTATATTGGCAACATCAATTTGATGAAAGACTTTCAAGCTAAGGACTATTATGATTAATATTTAAGCAAAGATTTTAGAGAGAAAAATTAGGACATTGTTTACGATGAACTTGAAAACTTTAAATTTTCAATAGAAATTTCAATTTAAATTTATTGTTAAAAATGATATCTATAAGATTTTTGTATTAAAAAAAATTATTTATGTCAAAATTTTATGACTTTTTCCAACTGTTGCATTTCCCTTATTTCGCTAATTCTGTAATGCTTTCTTCTAAAAAGGCTTTTTTGTTGCCAAGCCTTTTCTCTTTGAAGGGGGGGGATATATAAGATAAAAAATATGTAAATCAAAATTATAATTTAAACTAACGGTAGAACATTAATTCTCCCTCTCTATTCTAAAAATCGTAATACCTTCTCTGCATTGTATCATTTCTAGATCTTTCCTTTTCTTTCTTTTTTGCATGGCCTGCGCAGCGCTGATGACGTAAGAACTGGGAACTGAAACTACCATTTTTAAAACAAAACTTTTCTCTTCGCGTGCTTCGATCTGCATAACTATGCACTTTAGCTTCTGTCTGTGCTGTGCTTAGACGAAATTTCGCTATGCTGCTTCCTATTGCAATAATATCAATGATGTAAATGTTGTTGAACAGGCACGACTAGGGTGCCAAAGTGATCTGTGGCCACATAATGTCAATTGGAAATAAAAATGGAATTAAAATCGCCTCGACTGCCAAGTTTTTTTTACGAAGTCAACACATTAGCTTACGACGCAATCAGATTACTTCCTCTTCAATATAGGATAACTACGCATCAACAGTGTTCCGGGTTTTCCTCTCCTTGCTTTTATATACATATAAGATGATTATTTTCTGGTTCGCTGGATCAGTGTTATTCTCTCTACCTTTCCGTTTAGTCAGATTTCATTTAACCGAAGTTCGATTGAGAGGGGTTATAATAATGCAGCAGTTATATTTATTTATATAGTTTTATCTCGTTATATTTCATGAGGAATTTAAAATGTTTTTCATAAAATGTTAATATCTGTATACATATAAGATAATTATTTTCTAGTTCGCTGTTCCGTTTTATTCTCTCTACCTTTCCGTTTAGTCAGATTTCATTTAACGAAGTTCGATTGAGAGGGTTTATTAGCTGTTTTTTATGATGTGATTATTTTGCAAAACATTAAGCAGTCAGTCATATATGGAATTTCCTTTTTTTAAAAATGCTGGACTTTAGCTTTCAAAGTACCTGTTGTCCCATACACACTGTTTAAAAATATATATGTTATTGCACATGTTGCAACAAAGAAATTACTTACCCTGTTGACAGCTCTGCAGTTGGCTCCATGTTTAACCAATAATTGGACGGCCTCTTTGTAACCAAACCATGCCGCCATAAGGAAGGGGCGTCATGCCATACTGAAAGGAGAAATAAAAATAACTCATTTCGTGACTGTTATTTTGTATACATCTGCAAAATCTTTTAAAAATATAAATTCCTTTTCGTGACTGCCTTCATGAAAAGAGAAAACTTTACATTCAACAAAGAGTCTTTGTTGAAGACATTAATTATTAAAATTAGTCCTGTGAACAGTTCTGAATAAATTGAACTTCGTTGAAATGTTAAGGTTAAACTTCTTTTTCGTATATTGAAAATCTTTTATTCTGAATTATTGTATACAAAAGGGTTTAACATCCTTTTTTTCCAGTTAGCATTTAATACGTACCTGTTCTCTCCCTTTCCTCCCCTAGAGGAAAAGAACAATTGCATGAAAAGCTTTCATTTTTACGGAAAAATATATTTCTTCTTTACTTATTCTTTACTAATAATTATTAAATACGTAATAACGTATTTCTTCTTCCTTAACGCAATTAATGGCAAGAATATGTATGTGCTTGCTTTATATTCATATTTTGACTGAAATTCAAAATGCCAAGTGTCGAGATTGAGGTCTGAAACTCCGACTTCAATGACTAGAGTCGAATCAAGGAATTGTAGTCTACTAATCCGAAGCTTAAGCTAGCGGATCAAAAATCCACTTTTGATACATGGCCAAGTGGAGGAGCTGCTTTCAGTAATTTGTGAGTTGCAACATTTATATAACATAGTAGTATAATTTAAACAAAACTGCAGTCAGTCGCATGGAAATTTTATTGGGCCGTACTACACAGTATTTATTTATCAAATATACCTGGCCATTGACTATCAGGTCATTGAGCAACCGTACTACATAGTCTAAACTACATAGTCTAAATATAATTTTAAATAACCTTACTACATAGTATAAACAGTTATTTAAAAATTATATATAGTGAAAACTAATTTGCACATAGTTGTTGAGGAATATAGTAATACACAAACAATCAAAATTTTATTTAAGAGCATCTCTAATATTAATGATATCCGATGTGTTAAAAATATTAATCAAAATAAACGCTCTTTAAGGATTATACAATAAATAATGCCCTTTCCCGGAATAATATTTAATGAGTAAAATGGAGTCGATGGGCCATGAACGTGTAGCTAATCTATTTGTACATTATATCAGATCTGTAAATTTATCCCCGTAGAGTATTTGTGCACCTGGCGCAAATGCTTCAGCTGAGGAATTACTTTCAAGATTGAAAAAAAATCATTTTAGGAAGATCAGTGGAAAGAGAAATTAAACTTTGTTTTCCTTTTGACGAGGGAGGAAAAAAAAACGCTATTTATTTCTTCGAATTTGATACAATTATTGCTTTCGTTTCAACGACGCTTTGAAAGAAGTATTTACTAATTGCACTCCTTTTCCTTTTATTAATGCTTTTTTACGATGTTTGCTGGTTTGTAAAAGTATTTGTCAGATTAGAAAGGAAATTAAAGATCTTGGGAATAGGTAGCAACTGAAGCAAGAAAATCAATATACTTGGAAAAGAATTCAATGATATAAACGATCTTAAGTGTCTAGGTATAATATATCAATGAATAAGTTTACTGGAGATGCAGATTAAGTTTCTGAATTAAAAAAGAAATGCATTTCGTTTTAATATTGGATACTTTGTATATTTCAAAAAATTAGAAAAATAAGATACTGTGCAAAATTGGGCAAGATTTTTCTATTAAGGTTAAGATACTTTGACGATTCTAAAGATTTAATAATATATAGCATTAAAGCATTCTCAAAATATTTTAAAGGACGTCTAGCCATCGTATTACGAATGGGAATTATAAAGAACAAACTTTAGAGTTACTGAAAATAAACGAAAATGCGTAAAAGCTGTACTATATTTTACCCGTACTACGGATATATTCTTCTTTATCTTCTACTATTCTACACCCATATTTCACACATATTAATAAATTTATTTTGCAGGAAAAGGACAAATATCGCTGTTCGTCTTTTAAATCTAAGCCGTGTCTTGTTTTACAAAACTTTGCTTTTACGAAAGGCCGATATTAGTATAACATTTTTCGATGACGAATTTTGCTTTTGAAGAAAGGTGAAGTGCGAAAATACATTTCAACATTTGTTTTATGGGATAATCATCCCATATTACATAAAAATCTGACTTATTATAATGCAACATACGAGTTTAAAGTAATTTTTGCGCGAAATGTCTATTGCCTGCGACGAACAGCTTGGAAAAGAGAAAAATATAGCAGATTTAACAGCCAAGCATACTGATATCTTTCTTCAAACCTTTCCGATGAGATACAGCACAACATAAATCGTTTTCTATATTGGACCAGATAGACATAGAAACTACATACGCAGTGATTTCATGTATAAAATTAGCAATAAAATAGAAGATTATTTTCACCTTCTCTAACACTCTAACACTTATATTTCTCACTATTGAATCTCTAACGGTTAACCTGAGATCGTCACTAACCTTTACGTTTTCCAATGTGTTCATTCCCTTTTAAATTTTGTTATTTGTATCTATATTACATGCATATTTTTCTTATTATATGGTTTATTTATTTATCAAAATATTATTTCTTTTAATTTAATTTTATGGTTTAACTGATGTTTGGTATGATGTAACAGTTTTTTTTTAAATGAGGGAACTCACAAAGCATTTTTTTAGGAAAATTGTAGATAATTGCTTTTTCACAGTCTACGTACGGTTTCATTCCTTCAATCTACAAAACTTATATAAGGCATTTTCTCCTTCCTTTCCTCATGCCTTCGCTGTGTAAATGGAAGCACGCTCTACCTATATTCGGGAGGTCCGAAGTTTAAATCACGGCAAAGGCACTGCAGATGTCTTCAGTTTCCTGACTTTAGAAAAAATTCTAAAGGACTGTACAAGTGATGACGGAACTAAAAAGTGGTGAACGATATTTTACGAACAACCATGATTTGGCGATTGGAACTTGTAATTCCCAGTCGCCCTTCAAAAGGGAGAATATATAAGGCAGTGCCGGATTTAGCATTTTTCCTAGGCGGGGCAAAAACTTAAAACTGCCGCCCTCACCCATCTTCCTTTAAGTTTCTCTAACAAATTTTAATTCTTTGAATAAACATAGAAATATGTAGGGTTTGAGATAAAATGTAAAATCCATTTTATAATTAGAAATTATTTATGTGACATTTTTGTTATAAAAGAAATTTATATAACAAATGGTTTAGTTTCTTTACTTATGACAAAGCACCTGCCTAAGAGGAGAAATCGCTGAGGACTTTCTAAGAGTAATCGGTTCATATGCAAGTTGCGCATGAGCGAAACGACGGAAACACCCATGCAGCCCACTAATTCGCTTGATTCTAATCCCCGACCGAACTGCTAGTGTTCAGACTTTACCTCTTAGCCGCTGGTGGCCCGACATGCATACCAAAAGTTACATAATTAAAAACCCGTGCGGACCCTCCTAATGCAGTTTCTTCTCCGGTGCATTGAAAAAATCAAATTTACATTTTCCCTGAAATAGGGATTTTTATCAATATTTGCAACAATACCTACTCATACTAATAAATGATACTAATAGAAAACGATTCAGTACTGAATACTAAAATAGTTCGGCACAGTACGAAAAGAGGAATCACACACTACTAAGTAATAAAAAATATTATTTAAGAAAATATAAGAAAACAAATAACTAATGCAATGGATTGAATAATTTTATACCAATTTCGCGATACTAACAGTAACTTTAACCCAGCACGTTAAAAATTCAATTCACAATAACGTCTTCATCTAGCCTACTCAAGAACTAGCGTCCTCACAAAGCCCGATAACATAATAAATATTTACATATTCACACAAAAGACTATTTCTGTACTGTAATAATCAAATTTACATTTTCTCTGAAATACCCAATTTTTCAATATTTGCAACAATAACTAGTCAGACCAAAGGAAAATGATTCAGTACTAAATACTAAAGCAGTTCAGCATAGTACAAAAAATTGAACTGACACATTACTAATTAATATCTTAAACAAATATATATAAGTTACAAATCACGAATGAAATAGATTCAATAATGAACACACCAAATTCTCTAAAATAACAACTTTAACTTGGCACTTTAAAATTCCATTTCCCTGTAACGCCTTTATGTAGGCTACTCAAGAACTCTACTATCGGCCTCACACAGCCCGATAACATAATAAATATTTACATATTCATACAAAAGACTATTTTTGCACTGTAATAATCAAATTTAAGTTTCCTTTGAAATATGTAGTTTTGCAATGTTTGCTAATAAGATAACTAACCATAGTAATGGAAAGTAATTCAGTACTAAATACTAAAGCAGTTCATCATAGTACGAAAAATAGAAATATCACGTTACTAACAATAGCTTAAACGAATATATAAAATTTACAAATCACTAATGCAATGAATAATGAAATTCCTTTTTTTCAATAACATACTTAAATAAGTAAGTCCTAACGTTCAATCAAATATGCACTCGTAATAAAAACAATCTTTGGTTACAAACAATAGATAACATAAGTCGGGACAATCGATGAGCTGATTAATTACGTAACTAACTTTCATTAGCTTTACTTAGCAACCATACGAGCTACTGCTGAAAGGAAAAGGTTAGTATTTGTACTTCTTTTCATAATTCTTATTTCATTAATAATTTTAAGTTCTTACCTAATGCTCTTAAAATATTACGGAATTAAAATTTTACTCTGCGAGCCTTTTGCTCTGAAAATAAATCTATGGCATCGTCATAATTAACTTGATGTACTGTTTGATTTTCGATTGCCAGAACTGCGTGACTTGATAAACGCCTCCTGGTTCATGGATGATCTCAGATAGGTTTTATTAAGTTTTAATTTGCTAAAACTTCGCTGACTTGCGGATGCAGTTGGAAGCATAGAGTAAATCTGCAGGACAATACAAATATTGTAAAAGACATCCTGAAAATTATAGGTGTAGATCTGTCGCAAGAGATAAAAAAAAACTCTAGCCTTTTTT